TAAATCCGATAGAAATTGCAAAGGGATGCAACATCTCTTCGTCTCGTCTTTCGTCTTCGTCGTTCGTTGACGATTCGAGCCGTTCTGCGCTGGATGCCATCAATTGGAAGGAGTTGGTACTAGCAAGTCCCGGCCTAGGAATGTGAATAGTATTCCATGCTATGCCAAACCTGCCCCTTGTAAAGTTGCAACCAGTGTGCCGGCATAAAATATTATCCCGCTCTGCTGAGCACGCCTATTTTTTAGGGATCTGGTGCACTAAAGCTGTCTTCTTTGAGTTCGGGACTACGTCTAAGGAAAAAGACTTTTAGAAAAGACACGTTATGTCCGGTGCCAACTAGGAAGCACACATCTTCAGCACAATGGGAGGAACTCCATCAGGCCCACTCGACTAGGGCTCGTAACCCTTCTATCTTTCATATTTTAGGGTTAGTTATCAATTCTTAAAAAGGCATGCAGGAGAAAATGGGAGAATATTTTCTGTCACCATCTCCTAGTCTATTATTGCTCTACTTGCCACGAGCAGTATTAGCCTTGAGGGGAATTTCGCCCCCCCCCCCTTCTCCCCAGGATATGCGAGGCAGTCTGAGCACCCGCATTAAAGAAGAGAATTGCTGGCTGAGCATCCACGCCCAAGATACCCTATCTTGGGCGTGGATGCTCAGCCAGGGATTCTTCAATACCAGGGGTGGTGGTACCCTCCTGGGATGGTTTCCTATTTAATTACACCACCATGTTAAGGGGGAGAGGGGTCAGGATTCCGACCACCTGCACTTAACAGGCAGAAATAAACTTCTACTTTTTTTTTATAGAATTAGGGTGACAAACGAGCACACAGTCCACCAGATGGTAAGTGGTTGCTGCGGCCCATAGACATCTACATCTATCCTCTATTACAAATCAAAATGTAGATGCGTTGTCGCCCGTGAAGACTAAGATAGAATGCCTCATTTCCAGTAAAAAGGGCCTCCGGCCACCTGCACTTACCAAGCGAAACGCAGAGGTAAATCTCTACTTCACGCTGCTTATCTGTAAGGTCTTGGGTCTCCTCGGGTCGAGACGGTCCACCCATTCATTACATTAACCCATTACAGCTCTTCATTTCATGTCTTACCAGGTCGTCACTTCATCTAGTCGTGCCTCACGCGTGTGACAACAAAAGCTGTCGTATGGCTCTTCCACTGTTATGTTGTCTGCTTATATTATTAACTGTAATCGACTTCGTTAATGTTTAGGGGTTATACATAATACTTAGTAGTAAGTAGCTTTGCTTTGTTATGCTCTGCAGTGGGCGACATGGAGGTGATGATGAAGTAATTTTGCACCCTTAAAATATTGTTGCGCGCCACTATTAATGTCTTGTACATGGCAACACTAGTTACACTAGCGCCCTCTAGTGTCGAGTAAAAGAAATTGTTGCGCGTCACTATTAATGTCTTGCACATGGCAACACTAGTTACACTAGCGCCCTCTAGTGTCGAGTAGCAGAACTAGGAGAGTCGAGATCCTTCCAGAAATTTCGGGACCGATATGTACTCGAACATTCTAGATGTCGCTACAGTAGAAGGTTCTGGAAACTATCTGAGGCCCTATATAAGGCCGGTATAGACCACGACCGGGGCAGTATTGAAATTTGAAATAAAAATTGAAATAACGGCGAACTGTGTTTTATTATTAGTGTGATTTTAGATGGTAATTAGTGTTGTGTAATTAAAGTGTCAATTTTGGTAATTCAATCGACAGTTTTTAATTGTCTCGAACCCCAAGCTCGTAACAGTATTTAGTTTAGTTTAAATAGGGCCCCAATTTAATTTTTGCCCCGGGGCCCTTGGTTACATAGCTACGCCACTGGTGCCGTGTGGGCTTTAAGAGTCATGTCACGTCCTCATTTGAGTCAAGATGAAATGTTACGAGCCGTGGGCATGTTAGAAATTTTTTAGTTATAAATAAGTATATATGTATGTATATAGTATGAGGAAGCTCAAGGTCGCTCAGCGAGCTATGGAGAGGGCTATGCTCGGAGTTTCTCTGCGTGATAAACTTAGGAATGAGGATATCCGCAGTAGAACCAGAGTGACCGACATAGCCCAACGGATTAGTAAGCTGAAGTGGCAGTGGGCCGGCCATATAGCTCGAAGAACCGACAACCGATGGGGAAGAAAGGTTCTCGAGTGGCAGCCTCGTACCGGTAGGCGAAGTGTAGGGCGTCCCCCCACGAGATGGAGTGACGACCTGGTAAGACATGCAGGAAGTCGATGGATGCAGGTGGCTCAGGACCGTGTTTTGTGGCATTCTTTGGGGGAGGCCTATGTTCAGCAGTGGACTTGTGAAGGGCTGTAATGATGATGATGATGATGAAATAAAATATCCCTAGATTCTGTTGATGTGTTTATGTCTGGCAAAGACTTTGGAGCCCTGGTTACGCTCGATCGTTTCTTCGATACGAGCTCTATTGAAGTTGAGTAGGTCCCGCCGCATGCATTCATATATTTGTCCTTTCAGTTGCCTGTATGCTTTCAAATCTGCTGAGCACTGTAGCTGCAATTCCCGTCTAACGGCCATGATATTAAGAGTGTGATCGTAGAGTTTTTGTGTTCCTCTGTGACTAGTCTTGCAGAACTTAGCTCCGACCACATTGACAGTTTCCATGAGCTTATCATTCATATCGTTCACGGCATTGCAGTCTTCCAGGCACTAAAAACCATTTTGGGCTTTGAATTAGAATACAAGGGGGCGAAGCGTTGATGTCATTGGGCGTGACCTCTCCGATTTAACACTTAGGTTCGGTGTGCCTCTCACCATTCGGTAATCACTGCCAGTTTTCACCTAGTTGCCATTAATGATGTTAGCCCAGTTATGGTAATATGTTTGTAACTTCAACTGCCGTGTTCCAGTTTGAAGGACAAAAGAGCCACATCCATGATATAATCACAATCCATCGTGATTGTGATTATGTTGGCTTGTGGGCATTATGAGGCATTTCACATTAACTCTCTAGTTATATGAATAGTCTGGTTAGTCTCACATGAGCATTGTGGCGACATGAGCATTGTGGTTGCGTCACAAGCGAAACTTATCGAAACCTAAATCGCGCTATCAAAGTTCCGAATTATTGCGGTTTATATATAGAACAGCTTTGTACTAACACATGCAGCATACACAACATGCCCAGCAGGAGATCTCCTTTTTCTTTCCACGGGCAAACTAGTGACCCCGACATGATCTGAACACGCAACATGCAATCTTCGGTAACCTCAACTTCAAACTTTCGTCATCGTTCTCAAGTCCCCATCCCTCCCGGGTGGATATTGTCTGCAGTCTTAAGATCTTGCAAGCCATCTAGCTTTACAAGGTTCATCGCAACACTAGAATAACGCTTCCTGTTAATTCAAACTAGACTCTGCGTGTTAGGCACGGCTATGCACTTTACTGCTCGGCTGTGTTCCACGGCACTCTCGCAGATTACTTGCCTTCTTTTCGACTCACCGCAGATTACGAAACAATCCCTGGCACTTGCAAATTCGTCGATACTAGACTGCACCATCGACCTCCGGTCTGAGCCACTGTCGTCGCGCCACAAGCGAAACGCACCGAAACCTAAATCGCGCTATCAAAGTTATGAAGTACTGCGGTATATATAGAATAGGTCTTGGCATTTGTTCGACTGTCAATTTGTTTGTCACTCTCATCATCATCATTACAGTCAATGAAAAGTCCCCCATAGATTGCCCCATAGGGGAGATTACTATTGCCGAGTTTCATCAAAATCCGTTGTTTTGTAGTTTTAACGTAATTGAGCCACAAACATACAAACATCAAAACAAACTTTCACATTTATAATATTACTAGCTGGCCACGTAGACGTTTTGCCATTTCCGATGAAAATTTTTCTTATCAAAAATCGTTAAATTCGCAATAAAACAATATTAAGCGTCACTTATCGGGATAAAAACTATTCTATCTCTGAAGGTGAAGGTAACAATACACATTTATAAATTGAAGATTAGCGTGAACGAACATCGTGACACGGGATTTTTGTTATATGTATACTAGCTGGTACTCGGCACGTTGCTAACGCTGAAGAAAAATCATGTTATCAAAGTTAGGAATGATAACTTTCAAATACGTTTGTCGGTACGAAACCTACGCCACATGCTGTAAGGTAATTGTACTATAGCTATAACCTTCGCGCAAGTGCAAGCAAAAGTAATCAAAGATTGTCCACAATCTGATGAACGCTTAGAGTATAAATAAGCACAGATTGCTTAAAAAAACGCTATGGATGAACGGTATGGCAGCGCATAAAATACTGTTGCGCGCCACTATTAATGTCTTGTACATGGCAACACTAGTTACCACCAACGCCCTCTAGCGTCGAGCAGCAGAACTAGGAGAGTCTTAGAGAGAGTTTAGTCTTTTGTCTAGAGAGTTTTAGATTGTAATTAATGCTCTGTAATTAAAGTGTCAATTTTGGTAATTCAATCGGCAGTTTTTAATTGTCTCGAACCCCAAGCTCGTAACAATACGAACAAACAAACATAATTATTTATGTATTAGATTAGGATTCATAATATTAGTAGGATGTCGAAAGTCATTCATAAAAAAAACAAGCTTTTGTAAAATTATTCATTTATTTAATAAAAACTATCTACAAAACGATTACTTATCAAAACGTATAAAACTTAATTAAAAACTTATTTGTTTTTATTTACAAAATATTAAAATATATCTACACGACGTATAATGGGGTATTGTCTTGAATCCATTATGAAATATGCATTTCAAGATTTTGATATAGAACTACTGTTTAAAATGAACACGTGCAATGAACATGTTTTCAAAATTTTTCGTACTACTACTACTTCAGTAAATACCAAGAATTTCACTAAATTACTTTAAAATTTTCATCGTACCCCTTTATTACTCTAAAATATTATTTTACTACTCTCAAATTATTTCCTATTTATCATAAAATATTTAATTATTCTACAGTGAATTAATTAATTAAGCGGCCTACAGACTTCTTTCGCAGTAATACCGTCGGCCCTTAGTCTTGATAATAGAGATTTGTATACGGTAGGAGAAAACGGCAACACCACTCCGCGGTCTTGGATTTCGCCTGAAATTAAACATAAAAAATACTCTACTCTATATAAAAGATTTTCACAAATAATGATAAGAATACAAAATGGTTTAGATTCAAGAGACTCTCTGTTGTGTCACAAATGGCTAACACGTTCAACTTAAACAATATGGAGTCAGTCAAATTTATAAAGCAACATGTATCTTATGTAACGCTTAGGCCTTAGGCGATAAGGCCAAGGGGACCTTAAAAATCACAGGCAGAGACACCAGGACAAACACAATACATCCGAACCCAAAACCTAATACATTCTTAGCACAAGTAATCGAGTAAAACAGTAGTGGTGAGACGATTTTTTTTAGAAGTACAACCGATTTGCATGCGGCTTAGAGAACGCAATGCAAAATGCAATTATCTTAAAATAAATTTACATTTTTTTTTTACTATTACAAGCCAGTACCTGACTACAAGCCCACCAGATTATAATCGTATGGAAAAACAGATGCTGGTGAATTATTCCTCTCCTTTGCTGTAAGCATTATGAATGACAAAGCAAAACTTTTGGTTCGAATGCGTGGTATGTTGACAAAAGAAGGGTGAAGACCAGTCGAGTATCTGGTGGTTTGATGATGGACTGGCGTAATTAAGAATTATTTGATATATTATATACCATCGGACAAACCGTGTAGTGGCGGTGTAAGAATATCCACTACCCCATATCGTCCCGTGGGTGTCGTAGGAGGCGATAGAGGGAAAATGAAACATGTGATGGGCAGCACTATCTTGATAATAACTTAAAATAAAAAATATAAAAAAGTGCGGTTGCCAAACCGCTTACCAGGCGTGGTATCTTTTTTTATAGGATAGGGTGACAGACAAGCACACAGTCCACCTGATGGTAAATGGTTGCTGTGGCCCATAGACATCTACATCTACCCTCGATTACGAATCAAAATGCAGATGCGTTGTTACCCATGAGAACAAATACAAAATGCCTCTTTTTCAGTAAAAAAGGTCTCCGGTTTTGATGGTTTAAGATGCAATACATCGTTACCAGAAAAAGGGTTTCTTCCGGTTTAAGATGGAATGCATCGTTACCAGTAAAAAGGGTCTCCGGTTCTCTGCATTCATCATACGAAACACGTTAAGCTGCTAATTCACGCTGCTATTCTAAGAGAGCGTGGTCCTTCCCCGGTGGAGCCGACCCATTCGTGCAACAACTATACTAATAATACACGACGACGCTATCGCACGGCTCTGTTCAGCAGTGGACTTTACGAATGATACAAGTGGTGGTGGAGCATAATCGTTACCGTCAAGCAGCATCTTGGCGGCGATGGCGGTGGGCAGGCCGACGGTGCGCGCCATGGCGGTGTGGCGCGCCGGCTCGCCGCGCACCGTCATGGTGACCTCGCGCCGCTCGCGCCGCCCGTCGCTCCACGTCACTCCCACCTCGTGCCGCAGCACCACCAAGTCCGTCTCGTCTTTCTCTGCGAGTTATACAATATTTCTGCCCAAATACTCAAACACTGCTCACTTTTGAGATGCCGCTAAATTTCGTGTCGTCTATATCATTTTAAGTCAATGTGACTGTGACACCACGACACTTAACGATATCTTAAAATTAAGAAGCGTTTGAGTATTTGGCTGTGATTCACGTTTCTTTATAAAAGTACTAAGGTACGTGAGGATAATAAGGTCACCTTAAGCTTTGCCGTCCGTAAGGAAAATATAGCAAACGAGCTACGGCAATAATTAAGAACACTTCAAAAAATAAACTGAAAAAAAAAAACAATTAATAACCATCACTGACCTCTATACATACAAGATGACCATATTTACTGTACTTCAAAAATCAACTGGGAAAAAAAACAGCTGACCTCTATACATACAAGATGACCATATTTACTGTACTGTCAACTGTCAAAATGGCGTCGATGGCGCTCTTTTGACCTTATAATCAGAGTAATTACATACATATTTTTTTATATTATTTGATTGACCGATGAGGATTTATCGTATCACACACTATACAAACAAAGCTGTAGCCTGAGTTATAAGAAAGTAACCATATTAAGCGAATGACCATATTACCCTCGCGTAAGCTAGCCAGCCTGGCAGACTGTTTTACTTTTTCCGACGACCCTTTGTCCTATTAAAAATACTTAAAATCGCAATAAAAAATCAAGTTGGAGCAAGCATGCACATTTACAAAATTTCATTAAAATCGGTTGAACGATTTCGGAGATTACCGTAAAGGAACATCGTGACTCAGGGATTTTTAAATGTTAAGATTGTGACAAACGAACAGTGCATTATGCAATCCATTGGCAAGTGTAAATTGAAAACAAAAGAAGGTTACAGTTACAGATACGTTGTCACCTCTGAGAACTAATATGAAATGCCTTACAGCTATACTCTTCAAACCGGAACTCAGCAGTGCCGGCACTACTATTTGCTTCTATCACACAAGTGATGGCAGGTAGCTTTCTTTTAAGTTAAACGTAGTCAATAGTCATATTTCTTCTGTCTAATGCAGAATGGGCGTGCCGGGTTAAGTACCTGAGAAGCGGTAAATAGATTAGCATTTAGACCACTATTCGTCAGTATTGGGTAATATTTCAATGATGAGATCACTAGTAAGAGTAGTGTTTTCGGTATTAGAGAACAAAATTAAGAGTTCATTTAGGATACGAATGAAGGAGTCACAGCAAGACCTAAGTATATAAGATGGGGGTAAATAGCTACTACAGCCATATTGTCATCAGCTACACATCTAAAACCAATACCGTATTTAAATTGCTGCCTAATTAAGCTTGAAAAATTATATAGATGATCACTATCATTTCGTAAGGGATTCTTAGTGTTACAGGAATATAATAATATTTCTCCGATTGCCAACTTCATCTGTAGGGAATTAATCATACTGACTGACCGACGAAGTGTTAGTGATCACCTGATGACGCAAAATCTATCCAAATACACTTCACCAAACAAATTTACCTTTTGCACACGTGTGATCGCAATAAACTACCGTAATATTGTCTATATATACTATGAACATTTATGAAATATCAAGTTCTTCGTAAAATTATTGTTGAATTAACGGTAATAAACTAGTCCCAAATATTAACAGTAATTTAAAGATCGTCAAAACACTTCAGTTTAATAAATACTATGACACTACATTACCGTAATGAGAGAGAGAGAGAGAGAGAGATCAGCAATGGCTCCTTTCTAGATAGAAGCGTCTCCTGCTCCATGATATTTTTTTTTTTACATTTATTTAACTTTACAACATCCTTGCAAGGAGATGAAAAGAGCCCTTTGTTCATTTTTAAACTTTTTTTTAATACGTACCCAGTTGTAAACGCTTGCCGAGATAGTGACTGATAGTGTCGAGCGGTGTGCCGCATTTGACAACTGTATCATCGCTCAGTAGTCCCAGCGACTCGAGCGCCTGAGCCCCCGACACACCTATTCTTTCCGAAAGCCGTGTCTTGAGATTCTCGTAGAATATCGACGTATCTAGAAGGCCAAGTAGCTCGCAGGCAAATTGACGCTATATAAAGAGAAAATTTTAATGTAAACAACCGAAAAGGGGTTTAAGAAAACTTATGTGATTGACAACCGAAGTACCTATATCAGGTTCATTACTATAGGTCTTACTCATAAAAACCGCTCAAAAAAATTAAGAAACGCCTGAAGGTGCTTTTTTACGTATTATAAGCCACCACAATCCCATCTGGTGCTAAATGGTGATGAAGCCCTAGATGGTAAATCATACTGCTTTGTTTTCTTTCACTAAATGACAATAGAAAGAGACAGGTATAGAAAAATTATATCTCAATTTCAATAGACTATAATCAACCGTTTTATCCAAGGCTGTATGGTGAGGGCATCCACGACTTCTGCTACCAGGACGGCGCCACTTAAAAGTAAGGTAGATATAATATTTGACAGATTTCACATTGGGGAAATTAATTTGTTCGGAAAATGTAAATGTTAATGTTTCTTTCTGTACTATAAAGCTATATTTTGTATTAATAAGATATTCATAAAAGTAGAAAATTTAAAAAAAAAAGTTAAATATGTGCAAAAAATTAAAAAGCAAACCACTGAGGGAATTGTTTTGTGTATTAATATAATACTCTAGAAACTGATAAACATTTATTAAAAACTAACTTCTCAATTAAATGACATTGCATAACAAAAAACTTTACCTCAGTGTCAACTAGCGACATCCGATGAGCAGAAAATTATTAGCCTCATTACAAAATGCGGTTATATTCTATATTTGTTTCATTTCAAAGGGGAATGAAACACAAAATATTTCACTTGATGATATAATAGCTACCGATGTACATTATATAATCTTTACTCGGACAATACACTGGTTTATAAAATGTATTGTAGGTAGTTATCTCACCAAAATTATTTTGCAATAACTCTTAAAATTGTTTACATTAGCTATAAAAAAATAATTCAGCTTTTTACGTTTGTAAATTAATATTTTTAAACGTTATAAATTATGACGTACCCAGGTAATAGCCGGACCTTCAGGGTGCAGAGATGGATGCGGGTTAGGGTCCACTAGTCCAAACAGTTGCATGGCTATCATGGTCTCCGCAAAACCTATGAATAATATTTTTAACAATGAACACAGTTGACCACTCCTTACAAGCTTATAATTGCAAATATCCTTATTCGTTCCCGAATTATAACATGCATCCTAAATATATTATTATTTATGGTGAAGAATCAATAAGTGGTCGATCTTTATTCCGTGATGTTAGTGCTGTTAGCCTTTTTAGCTTTTACAGCTTCATCTGATAATACGTTTTAGAGCCACTCTGCAGCTATGTTAAGGTTTTAGCGCGTGGGTCTGGGAATGGGTCGCTTTGATCGGGGTAGGACCACGCTTTCACAGAATACCAGCGTAAAATAGCAGCTTAATGCTATTGTGTTTCGTATAGTGAGTGTAGAGATCCGGATATTCTTTTAACTGGAAACGAGGCATTCCATCATAGTCCTCAGGGGTGACAACGCATCTGTATTTTGATTCTTAATCGAGGATAAATGTAGATGTGTATGGGTCACAGGATCCACTTACCATCAGGAGGATTGTGTACTTGTTTGTTACCCTTATTTTATTTAAAAAAAACTACCTGCAAACAACTTTAAATAAAGAAGTCTGTGTAGATCTATGACGAGTACTGGACTGTTATTAGCCGACAAAGAAAAAACCGGCAAAGTGCGAGTCGGACTCGCGCACCGAGGGTTCCGAACAAATCTGTAGGTATATAAGTTTAAAATTATTAAAAATATTTTTATTATATGATGTAACTAAAAATGTATGGTTTTCGCAATTTTTCCTTTATCTGTGCTATAAAAAGTTGCTTCGTACCAAATTTCAAGATTCTGAGTTCACGGGAAGTACCCTGTGAGTTTTGATTCCCTTGCGAATGTCGAAAATTTACGGTATAAACGGCTGTATCTTTTGATTTCGTTGGCTTAGAAGTTTGATTTTTGACAGCTCTAAGGGACAGTAGACTTGAGTGTTTGATATGAATTTCAGCTTGATACCTCCACGCGTTCCTGAGAAGAAGGGTCTTGACAGACAGACAGACAGACGGACAACAAATTGATCCTATAAGGGCTCTGTATTTTTTCCTTTTGAGGTACGGAACCCTAAAAAATGAAAGCAAACAAAAGAAGATACATACCTTTGTAACGTATAGTTCCTCTGAACATTGTGTGCACGTCGTTTATACCGTAAAGTTCAGCGTACTTCGTGCTGTCCCTGTTGGGGAAGCCTTCGAAGGCGAACCCGGGTAAGAAATCTAAATCGCGAGCCACAGACATCAATTCTCCGCCGCTCAGAACTTCGACTATCTACATAAACAAAATGATTGTTGTGCATTAATAAAATGGTCAGAAATTCAACAAAACAAATATTTTAATGAACTTCTGAAAACATGTCAGGGTAAGTTACTCGCCCCCATTTAAGAGGGATAATGGAGCAAAAGCAACAAAGTAATTCCAGAATTTTGTGCTTAGAATTAAGATACGCATGAATAGTCTTACGAAATAATTTTTCCTTAAATGGTTTCTTTTCCTAATCATGCCGTGACATGAAGGAAGCCTTATTAAAATTCCTATTAATATTTTATTAAAGTATTGAAACAGTAATACTTTAATAAAATATTATGAACAGTAATCAAATATAACGCTCAGTGATATCCTCCCATTTTGGTTCGTAAAAATCTCTACGATTGTGCGCTGGTGAAAATCGTTGCCAGTAAAAAAATAATCCGCAACTGCATTATGTTTTTCAACACTTTAGCAATGGCCAAATCCAAATTATACCTAAATATATTTACTTTGAGACACTTACCTGACCTCTACTTAGATATTTTGCGCTAGAAATAGTGTTGAGAAGTACGCCCCGAGGATTCCATGAGAATTTGTATCGTAATGCATTGTCACTGAATTCCGGAGCAGGGAGGCCTGTAAATTAAATAATTATTTAAATATACGTAATTTAAGCGACAGGAAAACAGTTCAGAAGTATTAAAAATGTAAAAGCTTTTTTAATGTTTATATTTGATGTTCTTTCTTCTATATATACACCTAATTACTGGACATAGCTAATAGCTATCTCCTAATCCTAACGTACGGAGGATTGGCCTTAATAGCCACGCTTTGCAAATTTTTTTCTTAAAACTAGGCTCACTCTTGACCGCCATCTGGTCCGAGGGCAAAGATGAGGTCTTCAGTGGAGCGAGTTTGTCCAGAAGCCTGTTAACACGCACCTTGAAGAGGTTCAGGTTATATGCACTCGGAAAAACAGACACCAGCAGGGCATTCCACTCCTTGGCTGTGCGCATTATAAAAGATGACTTGAAGCGCTTAGTGCGAATATTCGGAATATCAATCAACCAAGTGTGGATGGTAACCTGCAGTACGTCTGGTATTCCGATAGGAGACTGGAGATGGTGGTATGAGCTTATTAACCTCATGGGCACACTCTCCGAAGTACAATCTGTAGAAGACCGACAAATAAGCAACTTGGCGGCGGTGAGCTAAGCTCTGAAGCTTAGTTTCCACCAGCTTTTTGTCGCCCATAAGCCTCTTGGCTCTGCGTTCCACTGAGTCGAGTGCGGCAAGTTCCTCCATTTAGCTGTCACCCTAAACTAAGTGGCCAATAAGAGGTTGAAATTCAAAAAACTTCTTTCTCCATCGTTATTTAAAGCAATCGCAGTTGGTCCTTCAACAAGTCAACTGATAAAAAAATGTAATATACCACGTAGTTTAATTATCACTAAAAAGTATAAAACTTCTTCTTCTTCATGTTTTGGTTTTTTATGTTGTTTTGTATTGTTGATTGTCATCCGAATCTGAATTATTTTCAAAATGTCAAATCTGTAGCTTATCAGAAAGTTAGTTTAAAATTAATTACTAAATTCGTTACCCAAATAGACCTACATGAAAGTGAGTTAATAAAAGCGTGGTAAATAGACAAAGCGTGTAAATATTTTACCTCCACAATAGGAAACGAACGAATCTATCCGTCCACCATGATTTTGAATGTTGTGTATACATTCTAGCGCCAGAAGGTGATCGATGCCCGGATCCAGACCGACTTCGTTCAATAACGTTACTCCTGCTTCTTTCGCGCTGTAAACCAATTCACGAAATTCAATTGAATGATCAGTGTTGTGGCAGTGTATGAATATCTACTATCACATTTCATCAAAAGGCAACAGCCTTGAGCCAACAGAAGAAAATGAAAAGGGAGGTGGGCAGCAGAGTCTTCCTAATAACAACTAAAAAATAGAAAACTGCGTTTGCCAGCCCGCCCGCCAAAAGTGGCTACTAGGCAAACATCACGGGGAATGTTTGCTATAGTTACCACTCTTGGCAATTGATGGGGGAGGTCTATGTTCAGCAATAGACTATTAGACAATCACGTTCTCACGAACGATGCTGCATTATTTCGTAGAGAACATCAAGAATTTTTTTGTAACGAGGGTTCATTTTTAGTTCCCAGTTATGAAATTGTGAAATGAAATTTTTATAGTCTAATTCTAATCAAAGTTTTAACGTATAACGTAATGATATTTTGTTTTACACAAAGATATATTAAAGTAGTAGCTTCAATAATAATAAGCCTCTCGGGTCATCTGAGGGGACTGGGACTCCGTGATGGATCGTTCCGGGCTCAAACGCAGAAGGTGGTGCTCCTCGATACCGCCCGAATTGTCCGTCGATTTCTTTCTCTTTCTCCCTAACCCTCGGCGGTTTGGTCTCCCCTGCCGAGGGCTTCCATCTGGTTGGGTATATATTTATTAATGTAATAATTTATTTATGTAATTTTTGTTTATATACATTTTACTATACTAATATATATTTATTTATATTGATCATTTTAAAATTATATATGTATAAATACCCCAAATTATAATAACTGTACGTGAGTGACGGTGTTGAATGTATAATTAATTAAGCAGTTTTCTATGATTAGATTAATATATTATATAATTATTAAATATCTGTTTGTTAACCCAATGATAAATAAATAAATAAACACACGCTTATTTTTTTAGTTCTTCTGTTTTATACTAAGTACAATTTGTGGAGCTATGTACATTTCTATAGCAAAAATTCAAGTAACTTATGGAGCTTAGCACCCGTTCTCAACTTTTTTATCGCCAGTGACAACCATGATCTTCCTTTGTATCGAACTTGGCCAATATTTCAAATTACATTTGCGTTTTTGGTGGGGTTTATTATTATTACATTTACCTTTTTTTAATTTTTATTTACTTCTTTGTTATCTATTTATTTATTGTACATAATTTTTAGTTAGTTAGTTACTAAGAAGACAATAACAATAAACACGAGATAATTTTAAAAAGATTGTCATGAAAATTGATAAAATTGAAAGAATTCTCTCATCGCGATCCATTTTCATGAAATTCTATTAATTTAGGCTTGTTCATTTGCTCTTGGCTACTTTATTTCCAATAAATGTTTTACTTCTTTTAAGATATAAAGACTTTTTTTTCTATGTGAAACCATTATTTCCACTTCAGACACTTACGACTCATGCAGTTCCTGGACTTCAGGCCTCACGTAGGAAGCGGTGACCATGTGTACGCCAGCGCTGACGCATGCCCTTGCCACCGGTCCGTGGAGTTCATAGGGCAACAGAGACACCACGAGTCTTGAGTTCGAAGCCAGCGACCGCAGCGCCGCCTCATCGTTGGCTTGGATGAACTCCGCACGGACGCCATAACGTTCGGCGAGGGCATCCGCTTCTTCTCTCACTTGCGACGCTAATTGCAACAGTATTAAGTAACAGTAAGTATTAATTAACAGTAAGTATTAATAACATGAAAAGTCACACTCTTTTCTCGTGGAATTAAGGTTGTAAAAATGATAATTTACGCACCAACAGTGACAGCGACATTCTTGTCTCTCGCCAAGTACTCTACGACGGGCGCTGAGACCAGGCCACTGCCGAGAATCAGCACAGGAGTTTGTTCCTCGTGACCTCCCACTTTGTGTCGAGATCGTCTATGAAATAGATAAGTTAATTACTAACATCGTATTATTTTAATTTAAAATAAGTTATAATTATAATCATGAACCTTTAAACAATTTACTAGGTACTGGCTATTATATCTATGAAATAAATTGCATCAAATAGCATTCATATCAACGAACGATCTGCACACCTCATTTTTTATGCTATGTATATACTATATTATGTTTTGTTTTTGTTTTTTTCTTAAAACGTTACCCTCACACTAAGATGTTCTCCTGTATCGTGGAGGCAGTTTACAAACACAGATCGCACGAGAACAAACATCCAGACCCGGAACAATTATTTGTAGGCCATACAAATACTTATTCCGTGCGGGATTCGAACCCGCGGCCCCTAGCGCAGGAACTCATTGCTAAGCCACTGCGCCACGAAGCCGTCGATCAAATAGATTGCAACTCTTTACCTTCGTTGATTCTTACGACAACCACAGGAAATTTGAAAGGGGCAGCTGTCCTAAGTTCGCTGGATTTTTTTAAAAATGACATTTTAAAACCATTTCAGACATGTGTTTCAATATAAAATTGCCTTACAGTAAGCACGGAGTGGAGGAGCACGGAATCTTTCTAGGTGTAGTCAGACCTACACCTAGAAAGATTCTGTGCTCCGTGCTTCCATGCAGTTGGATATGTAAAATTTCTAAAATTAATTATTTTTATGATTTATGACTGAGATCTCCCAAAGTTAATTAGATTTATTTTAGAAGCAGCTCCCCATTAAATTATACCATATGTCGTAATGGAATGACATAATGCAAAATAAACTGCCCTTATTACACACCTCATAACGTGAAACGTTATTAGGTGTGTTTTACTCTCGACACGTCAAGCTCTAGCAATTTCGTGTTCTTAAAATGCCTCTGTCATACAAGTACATATTTAGCCAGTCCATGGACACCTGTGACCAACAAACAAAGGAGGCTACATCCCATCCACAGAATTATACTGGCTCTCTACACCCTTCACACTGGAACAAAGTCTTTTGCCAAAATCATTACTGCACTAATTAAATACCCTTCTTATTTTTTATGGCTTGGCGTTTTAACGTTTCCATTTTTACTATGTAAATAACTTCGTATTGTGTAATTAATTGTTATTCAATTCAAAATTAAATTATTCTTTCACTAATTTATTCATTACAGCCATCGATCACTAATAAAAAAACTAGATACACAATCAGTGATAAAAATGTCCTTACAGAATGAGCGCCCACTCGAACATTTGGGTGCGCTATTAATTTGTACGTAGCTTTATGAATACAACTTCAGGCAATGCGTTTAAGGTTGAATTTACATTAATGTATATTTATTTCAACTAGAATTACGTCAAAACAATTGGTGACAGTTTTTAGAGAACTTTTGCTTGCAATCAAAATTTCACTAAACTAGGTCTCCCCTATAGATTGCTTCATAGGAAGAATGTGGAATATGACTGCCTCGTGCGGTCGTAAGCGCGACCGCTGATCATATGGTCACGGGATCCAATCTCGGGTCGGGCTTAAATCAGTTACCCACCTTTCTTATATAGGATAAGAGTAACAAACGAGCACACAGTCCACCTGATGGTAAGTGGTTTCTGTGGCCCATAGACATCTATATCTATCCTCGATTACGGATAAAAATGCAGATCCGTTATCACCCGGGAGGACTAAGATGGAATGTCTCATTTCCAGTAAAAAGGTTCTCTACACTCACCATACGAAACAGCAGCGTTAAGCTGCTATTTTACGCTGGTGATCTGTGAGAGCGTGGTCCTTCCCTGGTCGAGCCGACACATTCATGCTAAAACTATACCAGTAATATAGCTGCAGCATGGCTGTACCACGTAAAACCTCCTATTGCATTTTCTGTCAAGAAATTCTCAGTAACAGTCCAGAGTTAGGGAATTAGCTAAGTTTCACTCCAGTGCCTTGGAAAACGCGTAAATCCGCTGGTCTTGCGCCTGATCCTTCTTCAGTCATGTCGAATTGCTATCCCATCGGACTATGATAGATCAGACTGTGATTGTGCACTCACTCGAGCACTATAATCCTGTCCAGCGCAAATGAGACGTCTTCATTGACACTGGCCGCCGTGACCGAAATTCGGTCTGCAGGACATTAGAGGGGTATCCTCTTTTGTCACAATGGTTACGCATTACACACGAGTTTTTTAAATTATTTTCAGTTGTCATCAGGAAGATGCTGCTTCCCTTTCTTTGTTTCAGTTCCCCTTACCTCTTACGACACCCACGGGATGATATGTGATAGAGTATATTCTTACGCCGCCTCTACACAGAAATCATTATTTAATCAATGGGTTTTTATATTTAAATCTAAAAGAAGTAGAAGTACGTACAAAGGAAGCAATCAAATGAAATTAGTTTTAGAGTACCCCGTGACCATGGATCCTGTAAGTACTCGAAACGTTGTGAATATAAAATAAGTTGTTGGCTTTACGTGGTAGAACCATGCAGCAGCTATATTATTTATTTATTTATTTATTTATTTAAAACTTCATATACACATGTGGTATATAGGCGGACTTAATGCCTAAGGCATTCTCTACCAGTCTACCTTGGGATGATGCAGAGATATAATGAAGTAGGTGTAATAAAAAGGTAATATGTTAATACTAAACTAAAATAACAAAAAAAAAGTGTAGCACATCGAAATAAAATACATAAGATATAAATGGTAATAAAAAATATTATATATATATATATATATATATATATATATATATATATATATATATATACTTATAAAATGAATTATAATAAAAATAATAAGATAATAAAAATGTATATTACTTAAGTACATATTAAAACGTCAGATGTATGTAAACTCATGAAGATATACAATTATAGACATAATCAAATAAAATATATATTTTTATATCTATACATATAATAAAACTGTAAATAGCAGATGTCTGTACATTTTATATTTTTGTAATAAAAGTGATTGAGGGGTACTAAAAATAAGTAATTAAATACATTTCTACCATTTTTAGAATTTTCTGTCTGTCTGTCTGTCTGTCTGTCTGTTTGTTTGTTAACGTATCACGTATAAAGTACTAATTTATATCATAAGAATTGTTAAGGAAATTATAAAGTGTATCTTCGTGTTACATTTAGTCTTTATTTCATTAAAATCAGTTCATTCCATCAAAAGTTACGATAAATATTCTGAAGTATGGGTAGGGAAGTATAGGTACGAATTTGCTCAACGGTGGCTTTGTTTGAGTCATCAAGTGCATTTTAAACTAATATCATATCATAAATCATAGTTAAATTATGTAAAATAATGATATAATTACGTATATTTAAAACGCAGTAAACAAAAGTATTAAAGAACGTATTAAATATATTATACAAAAATATATTAACCTTATTAACTAAACCTGAAGCACAATAGTTAACCTATTTCTTCGATAGATGGTGGTGTTGTGAAAATGTAATGCAATTGCAATGTGGTTTTTACTGCTAATATATATGCTGCTAATCTTTATTATATTACTCGCTACCCTACTGCGTGTTGACAAACTCAATTTATTCTTTACCGCCGAGTACTCTATGTGGTAAATCAAATTTTAAAAGAGCTATTAACAATTGCGTTGGTTTTGGCGAGAGTCAAACTTCATTTTTTGCTTACTGTGCAGGCACTGATTTATAAGTTCTCTTGCGTTTTATATAATGTATCAATCGCGTCAATTAATCTCTTTTATTTTTAGAATTGATGTTAGCAGCGCCATCTCTCTTTAAATATATACATATAATAAAAATGATGATAACATGTTGTGTCTCTTTCTGTACATTGTATATATATTTTGGTGGCTAAAATCATTATGGGGAACTGAAAATAATTAAATAAGAACATTTTATAATTTTTAGAATTGTCTGTCTGTCTATTTGTCTGTATTATATGAACGCATCACGTCTAAAGTAAACATCTTTTATTTTCAAAGAAATCGTTAAGAAAATCATAAAGCGTATCTTCGAGTTACATTTAATCTTTGTTTTATTAAAATTGGTTAATTCTATCGAAAGTAATGATTATTATTTTGAAATGTAGGTTCGAATTTGTTCAATGGCGCCATAAAATCTCAGAAATAGTAATAAAAAGATTTGTGTGTAAAAAAAACGTTCCATAATAATTAATATATTTATACTTAAAACACAAAAAGAGATTTAAAAAGGATGTTTTCTCACAAAAAGGACGTAATAGATGGAGTTGTACAAATTACAAACTTTTCTGAATTGCTGTGTTGAGATTTTTCGCCGGTGAATCGTATTGAGACTTACTAAAGAAATTTGTATCCATCGAAGCCATACAACGGAATCCGACCAAAAATAAAAATTTTGCAACGAAATGTCGTGATATTGTATAATATAATATGCAAAATCAGTACTGCCATTTTAGCGCTTTGGGAACTAGATTTAGCGCTTTTTTGGAATGTATAGCGCGCATTTCGAAATTTTAGCACCTAGCTTAATCCAGCGCTTTTTGGTGTATTTAGCACACATTTCAATATTTTAGCGACTAGCGGGTTATTAACTCTTTTACTGCAGCACTCTTAGTCCACATTACCGATAATAATAATAATGACCTTTATTATTTTTTCCCACAAATAGTACATTGCAGTTTATCTTTTTCAAATATATTTTTTCCACAAAACAAAGAGCATGGGAGACGAGTCCAAACTAGGATACCCTGTGCTATGGATCTCCTGGCTTCCCCTTTAGGATGATCAACTTGATTTTTTTACCGACGACTATAAGCGGGGAAATCCCCTTTATTAAAGTTTTCGTTCATGGTTTTGGCAACGCATTTATTTTGCTTTATTCAGTTTCAGTCAGTTGCTTAGAGCACAGCTAAGTTAAAAGTTACTTAGAAGTTATAACACAAAGAAACTGTGTAGCAACCGCAATCAGATGCTACTAAGTTGCGAAATACATTGCACTTTAAAACAATTAATGACATTTTTATTGTT